CATATTACTTCAAAGGTATTATAAATAAATATATTTAATACTATGAAAAGTGTAGTAGCATTGCAAAAGCATGTATATTTGTAACATAAAAGATTCGTGAAAAGCATTTGGCAGAGGTAGTTCTAAATTTATTTTTGCAATATTTGTGGTGAATTATAACAGAAAAAAAAAAAAAAAAAAAAAAACTAAAAGCATAGGTAGAATATTTAAACATAATTTGTTGAGCAACTGTTTGAGAAAGCTATTTGTCTTGAAACGCCTATTGAAAGTGATGTCCTTTTCACTTGCGAATAAATAAATAATTAAAGAGAGATTGCTAATTCTTTATCACAGTGTGCCATTGTAAAAAAAAAAAAATAATAATAATAACTGAAAAATGCTCTTATGCAATAGCTTTTACGTCGGATGATTATCTTGTAATAATGAATGAATGGATTATTCGTCCCATTTTTTTCGTTTCTTTTTACATTAATGGTTACATTTAAGAGAGAACATATTTTTGAGTACTTAAAAGTGAAGTTTCAAGTTTTATAACATAAGTTCCGATATGTTATTTCAAACCGTGAACTTTAATGCAAGGAGTTAGTTACTAGATAATAAATGCGTTAAATGGAAAAACTGTTGCCTCGGAATTTAGAATCCTTTAAACTAAATTGTGATGTAGCCGTTCCTCAATAGACACTAATGCCGGCTAGCTTTAAAAGGATTTATTAACAGAGCACACAGGAAAACAAAAAAAAAAATACATACAAACAAAAAAAATATACATAAAAAATGAAACATATACCAAATGGAACATCAAACATTTGAATAACAGAGACATAGTAAACTATCATCATGGCGGCTGGAGGTCGACTGACGTTTTTTATATCGCCACGAGATGGCGTTTAAATAAAATAGTTCGGTTACAGTTCATGAGTTCATGGCGTGAATAAAATAGTTCAATTACAATTAAATAGGTCTGTTACAAAATATATATCTTTTCGACAAATCAGAAATTCAAAAGCTCTCTTTCCCTTATAATATATGTAGAGGAAATGGCGACATTAATAAAAGATACCCACCCCCACTTACATTTAAATAGATTGTATGATACTTCATCATTGTAAAAGCTTTATAGATAATTTCTTTCATCTTAACATTCTTTTGACAAAAAGAATAAACGGCATGATGTATTTGACATTATTTTATCACGTGAGTTTTGTTCATCTTATCAGAACCGATCGCAAAAAAAATTAATTCTTTTAAATTCTATCAGGATCAGATAAAAAAAAAAAGTTACTTGATTCAACAAACATAAAGAACTCTGAAAGGAGCGTTATGGTAAGCGTACTTTAAATTTTAAAAGATATTTAAAATAGCAAAAAGTGTTGTAAATTTTTATATTTGATTTCATGCATGAGATGCAAGGAAATAATTATTGATTTTAAGTGACTTCAATATGCAAGGTAATTTAACGTAAGATGAAAGTTTTAGTTAGTTTCAGTTAGTTATCATTTCTGATATAATCGCTGTGTATTCAAAATATATTTTATTTATTTATTCTATGTCATTTTTGTCATTTTTAATGTTCTTAGCCAGTAACTGCAAAAATATTGTCGTCCTAGCTTTAGTGTTTTTCCTACTTTCACTTTTCTCTCTCTTCTTTCTGACGAAAAGAAAAAAAAAAAAAAAAAAAAATTACTAACAAGCAATATGAAACAGGTAGCTTTAATAATCCTTTTCTACGATTTCAGTGTTTATTTCAGTCATTAAAGGTTAGTTTTTTAATGTTAGTCTTTCGAAGGGAAAGAGTTTTAATAATCGAAATCTATCAAAATCGTAAAAAACAACCTTGTATTTTACGATTTTGATTGTCACATTAGCGTGTTTTTCTTCTAGTCTAATGAAATATACTTCAAATAAAGCTCTTCCCCACCCCCACCCCATATTAAATTCTACAGTGATGTGTTTTCCGTCTATTTCGTCTATTTGATATTTTAGTCTGGTCTGTTAGAAAAATCTTTCTATAGAAATTCTATGGAATTTTTTAAATAAAAAAATTCATTTTACATAATATGTAATATAGGATGATATTAAGTCTTAAAAACGTTTTCAGATTTAAGCCGATTACGATATTTAACAATTCTAAACTTATTAAGCAGCTTTTGATAATTATTAGCTGAAAATATCAATACATAGTTATAATTTTTTTTAATTGTCACTTTGCATAATAAGACTTGCCCAACTCAGCTAGCTGATTAAAAACTATGAATTGTCATTCAGATATTATGGATTGTAAAATTTTTACACGTTATGCTAAGTTCTTTCAAAATTATTTGAATGAATTCAAACCTTAGTTGAATTTTAATTTAATTTTCTGAGACTTGAATCATTTTTCAGTATAAACTGTGTTTATGAAAGACTGTAAAAGGATAACTCTTTTAAATACTTCTAAATTGTGATAAATGAAAAGTTAAAAATATTGTAGAAAACACGAATAAATAGAAAATTAATAAGACTAAACAAATAACATGGCTATGTAGGGTATATATAAAAAGATCACACTACAATATTAATAAGTACTATTGATAGTAGATCCACAGTTTCAATTTAAGAAAGGAATCAAATAAGGTATGTTCCTGACTTCGAAAATTTTGGTTATGCAACACCTTTTAGTAAAAACATGCTTATATAGACCTTATATAAATGCTTATATAAACATTTAAATGCTTATATAGACCTCATACGGAAACGTATCATGGAAAAAAAATATTTTCCACAAACAAGTTAGTTAAAAAGAATTATCCGCATATTAACAAAAATCATGAAAACTTAATTTAAATTTTAGGTAATGGATTAAGTTTTTGGAGGAAAATTTCTGAAAGCTATCTTTTAAGGCAGAGAAGGAAATATTCCTAATTCTCATTGAAATCCACGTTCGAATTCGAAGGAGAAATGCTAGAACTCAGAATCTGAAGAAATTAAATTTTAATATGTCCTCTAAAACTCTCATTTCCCCCTCCCCATTCTCTACATATCAGATGAAAAGGATCTGATTGATTTATTTCTAAAATGTTTATCTCTCCTGTATATTAATTATTATATTTCATAAAATTTGTTATTCTACAAAGAAATCTTTGATAGAACAAAGAACAAATGAAACTTTTTTTGTAGCGAATCCGTATGATAAATCTAAATTTAATGTATTTTTAAAGAAAGATACTGCATTGAAAAATGATGAAAATAGTCATAATCCTTTTTGTTCAATTTTCTAATTTTGAACTATTAGCTTAGGGCCAAATATTCAAAAGTCAGTCAGTCGCATAATCGTTTTGAAAAGAGATAGAAACAAGTAGTATGACAAAAGGATCCCTTTTGAATATCACTAAGTAACTTGAAATAAATTCATATTTTTTAATCACATTTGCTTAGTTTATGACAGGATTATAGTTATGTGAATTATTTTTTTTTCTAATTCAGTCTACTATTTGGTAATCATAACGAAATTTAATAATTTTAAATGTATTTCTTCATAAGCGAATTTTGGGTGTAGTTGGAAGAGGGTGAAATCGTATCGGTTTCATCATTTTCGTTTACAAAGAAAAATGAAATGGTGATAACTCCTATTATTACTGCAAGTAATATAAACGTAAATCAAAATAAACAAGAATCGATAATTTTCATAAACTTTTTAGTTAAACTAATTTTATAGTTACATAAAATTCGCCATGTCTTTTGAAAGAAAATATACAGTTTTTCCTTAAACTGTATAATCTTTTTCTTTCTAAAATATTTTTTAAATCTTTTTTTTTTCTAAAATCTTTTTAAAATCTTTTTCTTTCTAAAATATTTTTTAAATCTTTTTCTTTCTAAAATATATTTAAAATCTTTTTCTTTCTAAAATATTTTTTAAATCTTTTCTTTCTAAAATCTTTTAAAAATCGTTTTTAAATCTTTTTCTTTTAAAATCTTTTTAAAATCTTTTTCTTTCTAAAATCTTTTTAAATCTTTTTCTTTCTAAAATCTTTTTAAAATCTTTTTCTTTCTAAAATCATTGTTTCTTTCTAAAATTTCTTAAAATCTGCGTCTACAGAGCCAAAATTTTAACATTTCTCAGCTACAATAATATTATGAAGTTAATAGGGAAGTCTGCTGTTTCCTTTGATTTGTCGGAATTATTTCTAAATTTATATTTATCCTACTTAATATTGCTCTATCTCATTGTCCTATATCTGTCTATTCTCTCATTATTTAGAAAAAATTAATGATCAAAATGTTGTCTTAAGTAATGGTACTTACAACGATAAAATTTTAATTTTATTAAGTTTATTTCTACAGTGTTCTCATATAAAGGCCATTTCACCATTTTCTGTGTTGAAACTGTGGTTGTTTTGGCCAATATTAGAGGCTTGGACTTGATTATAAATTGTTTCTCACTAAGCCTACTATCACATATAAAATCAAAAAGTAATTTACGATTACTTTTTGATTTTGATTTTATCAAAAAGTAATCTCTTTAAATAGATTAATGCGAAATATTTTAAATTTCTCATTAAAACTAAACTTGTTCGAAGGAATTTACCAGCACTTTTGAAACAAAAGTACATTATTATAAATTCCTCCTTCCACTTAAACCTATTTAAAGGGTTCGACCAATTTAAATCTGAACATGGGAAAAGGTATCACAATGTGATGCCACTCAAATAATAACTTATAAAAGTTAATTTCGAATTAAAATTTCTTCGTATTTTTGAGTGCAGATAGACGGATACTTGGGTTTCTTTACTACAATAACCCATCAAGGTTCTTAAAGTACCTGCTCAAATATTTATAACTGAAACAAACTTAGCTAGATAAAAAGCAGTCAATTCAGGTTATATTGTTTTATGGAATACCCTTCAAACCTATATCACGATATTTGTTTGGCTCACGCCAGTTTCCGTGACAAGAGATATAAGTGTTTCTCTAGCACAGGAAAACGAGACAGAGATTTAATTGGATTTTTTTCTTCTCTACAGCTAATGGTGGGAAACACTAGCACGAGCTCTGTGTCTTCTCCGTGCTGTGGAGGTGACTCCTCTGGGCGCACATCGTCGGGGGTGGATTCCTCTTCAGTATGTTCTTTGCCTGCCACCTATGATTCCAGGTTGCTTACTACGTACCACCCGCGGCTGTATGAACCCCAGGCCTACCCCAACTTTACAGGGGTCGACTCTTCAGCCTTCTATCCTTCACTGGTAAGTTACCATTTGCTGATTTTCTTCACAGCAGCATTATTTCAATAAAATAGCATTTTAAATCTTCTTGCAAAGAGTGGTGTGGGAAAATTGTGGAAAAGTTATTTCAGCAGTTGTTTCTTTTTAAATTTTGGTCTAAAATGATACAAAATTAAACGAAATGTACTTTATATTTAACGGTCATAAAAATATTTCAAACATAGTAATTGATGGCGTTTTAATATTTTCTTGGAATGCAAATTTGTTGCTATCGTAATCATAGCCTATGATGCTTATACATCGATATATTTGAAATTGAACTGAATTTCAGTGAAAGAAGAGAATTTAACGACAGGATCGAAAATTTTTATTATACGGGGTATCTCTTAATTTTCGGCAGTTTACATGTAAATTATTCAAAATATAAAAGTAATTCAAAATGTAAATTATTCAAAATCTAAATATTTTTTCAAAGGATAAGTGTCATCTAGTATAGACATCAATAACGTCAGAAAAATAATCAGATGAGAATGTCTTTCAAGTGAATGACTGTCAAAGAATGCAAATCAAGAAAAATTTTGTTATTATCTCTCTACGGTAATGAATCATTTCATTCGATTTTAGAAAGCTATTTTAGGAAATCTACATACGCAATGCCAGATCATATTCGAGATGTCTTTTTGAGCTCTATCGATCACCATCTGTATGCAGGTTGGAGGAGAAAAAGTGCATGGTTCTAAAAATATCCATCATTTGAAGCGAGTAATGACGTGGTATGTTGTTCTCTGAAGAGTTCCATTTCGTTTACCATCCAAGAGATAAAAAATATACTTTGGAAAAGCCTCAAGCCTAAAAAAAAGTGTTTCTTTTAATCTGTTCATCAAATTCACAGAGTGTGCCCGAATGACAGAGTTTGCCACCTGGAATCTTTTGAGTATTCAAGTCAAAACTATTCTACTTACTGAAATTACTGCTTCTATTAAAAGATGATATCATGACGAAAATAATCACAAGCGTTCTTAGTATTTGCGATACTTTTGAAAATTTTGGATGATGATGCATTTCAAACAGGAGAAAGGCTTGATGTTGAACTCAACCTTCCCTTCAAGAGAGGCGTTAGATTGCTAAAGAAATCTATGAGGACTGTTGAACAAATTTCTGAACATTTCATTTTCGAACTGCTAGCACTATTTTGTCATTTTCCGACAATGACCACTTCTATGGCCATAATTGATGGCCTTTTTATTGTCGAGGCATCTAATAGGCCTCCTATGAAGGGGCGGATATACAGTTAGTTACCTCCTATGTAGGTGACAGGTGACGGAGGACGGGGACGCCTGGCGTCTAATAGAGGTAAACAAGCATATGTCCCACACCCTCCCCTATCCAGACGCAACAACTCCCTGAAGCCCCATAAGGGCGCACCGGGAGTTTATCGATACTTCAACATAAATTACTACTTACTCATAAATTACTGCCTACTGATAACATATAAATTCTGCTTATTCGTAAATTATCGCATACACATAAGTTACTGCTTGTACCTGAATTACTGCTTACACATAAATTACTGCTTGCACATGAAATACTGCTTACATTAATATGATTACATCAATATGGTGCATTAATATGATGCTCAGTTACATATACATGCTACATTACGCGTTAATTTGATACATAATTACACATTATTGTAGGGGCGGACAGTTACAACCATGCCTTCTCCGGGATTTGAACCCGGGCCTTTGAGTATCGTAGTCGGTTCCCCTAGCCTCTATACCAGGACCACCAGGGGCCGAGCGGTAACGTCGCTGAACACTGGTAGTTCAGTCTGAGGTTCGAATCCCGCGAACGGGCTGGCTGCATGGGTGTTTTCTTGGTTTTAACCATGTGTAACGTGTATACGAGCCAGTTTTCCTTAAAACGTCCTCCACGTAGGCATCCCTCCCTTAAAGCAGATAGCCCTCGAGTGCTTTGCTGTAATCTAATAAACCAAACCATAGACCAAATTAGCCTCTATACCGTCTGGGCGGCAAACTTCCGAACATTCTTCCCTTTAAATGTATTAAGATAACAAAACAGCTTCCTTTACTGTTTGGAGAAGATATAAGAAAACAACTTTTATAACGTACGCTAAATAATTTCGTATGCAGCATACCATGCCCAGTGTAAAAGTGAAGATTACTTCATGCTGGCAAAAGTTGTGTGCTCTGAAGTTCGTCAACAGGGTTGAACAGTTTAATGTTTGTCATTTCTGAATGAATTACAAAGATAACAGTGTTGCTCTAACATTGTTGTTTCATGTTCAGGTTTCTGTGAAGGTTCCTGTTTCTAACATATAGTGATAACTATTCATGTTGCATGAAATTTGTCATTTTTTATTTAGATATATTTAAAAAAAAATCTGAAAGCTTTCAGATTTTACATTATGAATCGACAATATCGATTCATAAATCATTAGCAGAGTTTCCATTTGAAAACATTCTAAAAAAAAAAAAAAAAAAAAAAATCTGAAAGGTTTCAGATTTTAAATTACGCCCAGAGGGGCGTTTTTTTAACACTTTGTGTGTTACCTTTGTTAAATAGTATAGTCTTCGCACTTAAACCATAAAATTCAGTTCAACAGCAATATCGCAAAATAATTTTAAAATGAGCATGTCTTTAGAATTTCCCATACACAGTCTCGCGCACTGAAGATAAAAATGTTTTTTTTTTTTTTTTTTTTTTTTTTTTTTTTCCTTACAGTGTTGTGCCATTGCTCGCTTTGAAATCGTTGAGTTTGTTAATTAAAAATTTGTTAAAATGTTACAAATATGAATTAGATATTAAAACAAATTCAAAATTAGGGCTTCCGTATGCCCATATTCGGTGGAGGATTACCTTATTCATAATTTTATGTCTCTAGGTACCGTTGTTTTATCGCAAAGTGAGAAACATAAATACATTTATGCAAATTTTTCACTATTTAATTTCTTTAAATCTAACACAGGTCGATAATATTTGGTGGCAACAATTTGAAAAGTGAAACAGACATTTAAAGTTTTCAACGTAAAATGCCAAAACGAAATTAATAACTCTTCTGGGCTACTGCCCTTCGGGCTAATAATTAAATGAGAAATAAAAAAAAATACGATTTTTACATTTTCAAATAGTACGGAAATGAAATAACTGCAAATAGAATAGCAGTTGGAAATTTTAATGATTTATTAGATAATTTACTTAAAATGCGTTAGTAGAAAAGAAAAAGAATTTTACCAACATTGAAAGTCATATATACGATATGCATGCACTCAAAATATGTTGCAATCATTTATACAGGTCGCTTTCAAGTAAATTAAGAACATTCGTGTAAAAAAATCCAATCTTTTCCAGTGTATCAAAAGACTTTAAAATCTTAATATAATTGAAGCCTTTGTTGTGCAGCTGAATATTTTCGCAGTAGACTGAAAGGTGCTATCTCAAAAATGTTATTTTCTCTCATAAATAAATATTTCGAAGAAAGAAATACATCTAATGCCTTCTGTAGAAGTGTAAACCGAAATGTTTATTTATGGATATATTTCTTCTGCTACCTGTTATTCTCACGACTACATTCTTTCTACTGTATATAAAATGAGATGAAATTGTAATCTGCGAAAACAGCCATGTTTCCCTTAGTTTTTAGAATATTTATTCATGGAAAGAAACAATGCCAAATGCATCCAAACACCCCAAAAACTTTACATACTGAATAAACTCGTGCATTTATGTATGGTTCGAAACAACACTTTTCTTGCGTACATCCTTCTCTTTTGTATACATTTGAACCCTAACTTTACATCAAGCTGTGGAATACAGCTCCAGAAATGTAAACACCTTTCAGAAACGAATGTTGCTTCGTGTAGAATAAGCGTGTTTCCAAGTCTACCGAAAATAAGCAAGAGAAGTACTTTTTCTTTCCGATTTAAATTTCAAAACAATGGTTATAACAAAACAGCTGGTTTCAGAACGACACAGGTCTAAAGTGGGAAAACAGAACAGTGAAATTGATTTTTTTTTTTTTTTTTGTTGTTGTTTTTTGTTTTTTAACCGAAGTTCTCAATTCTAAGGATTTGTTATCTGAGTTCTGTGTCAAGTATCAGGGTTAATTCTATTTGTTCTTTAACTTAATATGTTTTGCAAACAATAATCAATCAACAAATGGACTGTATTCCTTCACTTTTATTTCATTACACTAATTATAAGTAAAATGTCAGCGATGCGAAATAATTGATACAAAATAAGCGAGCCATTCTACATAGCTGTCACAAACACAATTCTATCAATCAATTATCTTGTTGCCACACATAAAGTTCAAAACTAAAAAGGAAGAAAAACAAAAGAAATTAATCTGTTTGCAACAATAAAATGAAGCAAACGATACTCACATAAACACTATTTATTACCATTTACAAGGTATTACAAGGTATTTTTACATTCGTAAAAATTATTTATCATTTAGTAAAATCATTTATCATTTAGTAAATTATTTATCGTTCGTAAAATTATTTATTATTTATCATTTATCAAAAATTATTTATCATATCATTTATCATCATTATTTATCATTTATCATTCATCTAATATACTAATGTGACAAAATATTTATATTTGGATGGCCACATTTTAAAATATTTGTGTTTGAAATGATTCCAATTCTCCGAAACAAGTATGCGATAATCGAACGCATCATCCGAGAAAAATAAAAAAAATTCTATTGCTAAATGAGAGAAAAGTTTTGCTTCAATTTAAGGATTTTATTTCCCTTTAAGAACGTTTTATAAAAATATTTTATGAACTTTTTAAACAGAAAGGAGGGCAAAAATTTAAATAAATAGTCCAAAAGTGACGTTCCCGAATGCGATACTATTAGTCTCAGAAGCATTTTGCGTTTAATCAGTATAAACAGCGTATCATTTTTCACCAAATATTATCGCCTTGCATTCTATTTAAAGAAATAAATAATGAATAATCTGCATAAATGCGGGAAAAAATAATGGTAC